TATTGGAATACTCCAATATACTGGAATTCTCCAGTATATTGCAATCACACATCTCTTGGAATTCTCCCATAAATGGCAATCCCACATCTATAGGAATACCCCAATATATGTAGTCTACAGAGCATTCCCCAGGGATTTTGCTGCCACAGGACAGCAACTTGGGGAAGCTCAGAGCTCGTCCCACTCCACCTCTCCCCCTCGGGGCTCCGGGGCTAAACCATCCCGGTGGCAATTCCCCATCCTGGGGTTCCTTCCCCTGCACCCCTCGCTGCTCCCTGGCACGCGCCTCCCCCAGCGCTGCAATCGTGGCTCTGGGCTATATTTAGCCCTCCCCCGTGTTATTTCGCCTTCCTGGCAGGAGTTTGTTAACTGGCCGGGACAGCTCCACCTCCTTTCTGCTTTCTCTCCTTTCCCTTCCCTTTCTTTTCCCCCTTTTCCCCTCTCTCTGCTCGCTCCCCTGCAGCTGCTTGGTACCCCACGCTGGCAGTGCCAGCTGTGCCCACTGTCACCCATCCTGCGCTGTGGGTTGTTGGAGCCTGGCGAGCTGTGAGCCCCCGGCATGGGGCCCGCTGAGGAGCTGGTCCGGATTGCCAAGAAATTGGATAAGATGGTGGCCAGGAAGAGCACGGTAAGGTGGCCAAGCTCCTCGGGTTTGCACACGTGTGCGTGTTGACACGCGTGTGTTTACATGTTGGCATAGTGCGGATGGTGCCGCGTGGCTTGGGAAAGTTTGCTCTTCTCCCTCCTCCTGTGTTCCCCTCCCCTGGAGGGACTGAGTGGGTTTAAAGGGTGCTGAGCCCCCACAGGTGCCACCAGCACCTTAGGGTGCTGCCTGTGCCACCCCAACCTTGTGACATCAAAGCCAGCGCGCAGGGGGATTTAATTTTGCCTCGAATTTGGGGCTCTTCTGTAGCCCGTTGCTCCCAGACATTGGGATTTGGGGGTAAATCCATGGGTGGCAGCTCTGGGAACCCCTGAGCAGTGCTGGACTGTGGGTGACAGGTGCTTGGCCACCAGCCCAGCCACCAACACCCGATCAGTGCCAGTGCCACAGGCTCGGATCTGAGCTAGGGAAAACTCCAGACTGGGAGACACAACCTCCCCAGCACCCCCAGCCCAGCCCTGCCTGCTGCACTGGTGTGCAAAGGGAGGGGGGAGGGCCAAGTGCTGGTTCCTGCGGGGTTAGGTGTGCCAGGGGGAGGCAGGCCCTTGTGCCAGGTAAGGATCCATCTGGGGATCCTGTGAACTGGTTAGGTGTGCCCAGCCCGGCCCTCGGAGTTAATATTTGACTGTTTCCACTGGCCTTTGCCCTGACAAGGTGAAGGCTCCTGGGCAGGGGGGGCAGCACTGCTGTTCCCTGGATCTGGTGACTTTTTTGGGATGTCAATACTTGGAATGGGAGCCATGTGGGTTCTGCTTCCTGCTGGAGTTCTCCCAGGATCAAGGGATTGGGGTGCTCCATAACCTGTGCTTCATGGTGGGAGAAAGCCAAGGTCTGGCCACAGCACAGGGATGTCCCTGCACTCATCATACCAGGGGAGCCTGATCCTGCTCCTCATGGTGGGGGTCCATGGAGCTGTGTCCCTGTTGGGGGGATACCTGTGAGCTGGTGTCTGCTGCTGGGGCTCTAAAAATACCATGGAGGAGGAGGAGGAGGAGGAGGAGAAGGAGGAGGGCTCCATGCCGGACTATCTTTAGCCCAGCAGCCGCTGTGGGGGTCAGGCTGAAATCCTAGGGGTGAATGTCCCACAGACCATAACACTCTTGCCTGGGGACACTAGGGTGTCCCACAGATGTTCCCAGTTCCCAGCAGCCTGGATTCTCCTTATGGGGAGGGTTTTCCCAAGCTTTTCCCAAGATCCTGCTTTCCAGCTGGAGATGTGGCCCAGTGCTGGGCTGGTCCAGCAGGATTTGGGTTTGGGATTTTTTCTATGGTGTGTTACTATGGAGGGTCAGTCCTTGAGGACTGGCCCAGGGCTGCTTTGGTTCCCCTTGGGGTGTCCTCCCTGGTGCCCTCAAGAGACAGGGGGAGCATGCACCCCCCATTTATCTCCAGCTCCTCAAGGGTCCCTGTGGCTTCTCCCTGCTCTAGGAAGGGGCTCTGGATCTGCTCAAGTCCCTCACTGGCTACACCATGACCATCCAGCTGCTGCAGGTGAGGGGGTGTGGGTGGGGGGCACCCCATGGGGTGGCTCATGCTGTCTCCCTGTGCCAGCTGGCACATCCCTAAGGATGTGTCCCTGCCACGTGTCCCCAGACCACACGGATTGGGGTGGCTGTGAACTCGGTGCGGAAACACTGCTCGGATGAAGAGGTGGTGACCTCGGCCAAAATCCTCATCAAGAACTGGAAGCGGCTGCTGGGTGAGTGATGCTGGGGGAACACAGGAACCCCCAAAGCCTCAACCCTCCCTGGGCCATTCCTGCACCCCAAACCCAATTGCTTTCCAGTGGGATTGGAGTGGAATCCATCCCCAGCTGGGACATGCAGGTTCCCATAACGTGTAACCCAGTCCTGCCAGGCAATGCATAGACTGGATGGATTTTCCAAGGGCTTGTTTTGGCTCCAGGATAGAGTGGTGTGAATCGGCATGTGCCCCTCCCAAGGGCTGAGCATCCCCCCAGCCACCCCTCGCCTTGGGATGCAGCTCCCCAGCTGCCCTGTGCTGTTTTGGGCCATGCCTGTGACACCCAAATGCTTCCCTCAGAGTCCACCACCCCAAAGAAGGAGAAAGACACAGATGGAAAGAAGGAGAAGGACACAGATGGGGACAAGAAGAAGGAGAAGGGGCTGGATGTTTCTAGCTGCCCCAGTGAAGGGGTGAAGCACTCCAAGAACTCATTGGAGAAGCACAGGGAGAAGCACAAGGAGAGGTGAGGGCTCCAGCCTGCTGTCAGGGGGCACCAGGGAGATATGAGATCACCCTCTGCTTGGGCCTTAAAGGTTTATCCATCTCTGCTGGCCCATGGATACCAGCAGCACCTCTGGAGAACAAAGGGCAGCTGCCTGCAGCTAGGGCAGCACTGGGGCAGCTTTTGGAGGAGGGAGAAATGGCAATTTTAAATTTTCCCTTCTCTAGAGCTATTTGTTCCTTGGATAAGGGCAGTTTGGACAGTGCTTGTCTGACCCTGTCCCACTCTCTCTGTCCCTAGGAAGCCCAGCAAGTCCAGCTCTCATGCCACCACCACCCAGGGCCACTCTGCCGACTCCAGCCTGGAGAGGTACCTGCTGAAGGATGCCCTGACCCTCACACCAGGCTCTGCTGGGCACTGCCAGCCCGGGGAAGGCTTTGCTGGCAGCTTTGGTGGGTGGTGGGGCTCAGGGATGACCCCTCTGGGGATGGGGTGTGCAGATGGGCAGGATCTGGCTCACAGGTGACACCAGGGGATGCTGGGGCTGGGCTTGCTGAGAGCATCTCTCCCTTCCTTTGGGCTCCTGTGGTGAAGAGAGTCCAGTGACAGCCGGAGCCCAACTGCATCCTCCAAGAAGTCACCTCTGGATGGCAAGAAAGAGAGGTGAGTGCTGGGCTGGGCAAGGATGGGAGAGGCAGGACCTCAGCCCCTTGCTGGGCTGTGGTTGGGGGTCTGGACCCACTGCCTGGTCCCTATTGGACATGGGGCTCATCCTGCCAGGAGAGACTCTGCTGACTCAAAGTCCTCCACCACCTCGACCATGTCCTCCTCTTCCTCCCCACAGAAGAGACTGTCAGGGGAGAGGTAAGGAGAGGTCATCCCTGGACAGCCTTGGGATGCTTTGGGGATCCCCTTTGGGGTTGTCCTGACCATAGGACCCCCATCTAGAGTGGGCAGAGATGGATCACCCTGATTGTGCCACAGGCACTGGGACATTCCTGGTGAGGAGTAAATCCTCCTCTGGGGAAATTCCTGTTGGTTCTGAGTACTCACATTGACATGCTGGTGCCCAAGGTACAGCCACCAGCCCCTGCCCCCTGTTCTGCTCGCCCTATCTCTGGTGTCATCCCCACTGTCCTCTCCCATGCCACCCCCAGGAGAGCCTCTGTGGGCACCGGTCCCTCTCCAGCTCCCACTGGCTCCCGGATAAACTCTAGTGACAGCAAGGAGGAAAGGTAGGAGAGACCCATCCCTGCCACCATGGGACCCCTGGCAGGTCCCTGGGGCTGTGCCAGGACCCCACTGCCTGCCTGTCCCCTACTGTGTGCCCCCACAGAGCCAACGGCAGCAAGGCCAAACCAGAGACACCACGAACTCCCACCAGCCCCTCCTTCTCTCCCAGCCCCTGCTTCCTGGCCCCCTGCTATCTCACAGGGGACTCGGTGCGGGACAAGTGCATCGAGATGCTGACGGCTGCACTCCGCATGGATGGTGAGTGGCTCTGGGGGTGCAGGACCCCAAACTGGGTTGTTTCTCCCATGGAACACCCCTAATAGGAGCATTTGGCCCCAGAATGAAAGGGAAGGAGGTTTGCTGGTTCTCTGATATGGAGATGAGTCTTTGTAAGGTTCAAGGTGGGTCTTAGTAAGGTTCAAGATGGGCAAAGGTAGGTATTTTAGAGATGGGATGTCTAGGCCAAGTACAGGGGGGAGAGGTGAGATTTGTGGGGAGGTTGTACAGTGAGATCTGGCTGGTTTCATGCCTGAAAGTCACTCCTTGATCTCTCTGTCCTGTTAGATGACTACAAGGAGTTCGGTGTCAACTGTGAGAAAATGGCATCGGAGATCGAAGACCATATCCTTTGGGGATCCCCAGGCACCGTCTGATGGGGGGCACACGTGGGCTCAGCAGTGGAGGTGGGAACAGGATGGAGGCTGACAGGGACAAGGACAGAGGGTGACAAGGACAGGACAGAGGGTGTCAGAGACAAGGACAGTGACAGGCTCTGCTGTCCTCGCTGCCTGCAGAGGGAGCCCAGACCACGGTTAGAGGATGCCGAGGTTGAGGCTGAGCAGAGCATCCCCCGGGCACCTGCCTTAGTCCGGGGTTCTGTGTCCCCCCCCAAAATCCCTCTGTTCCAGGACCTGCCTTCATCCCTGGGGAAATAAACCGACACCCAGCCAAGGCCCTTTCCTTGAGCCTGTTGTGGATGCTGTGTCTCCTGCCAGCCCGATGTGCCCAAGCTGTGCCACGCTGGCAGGGATGGAGCCACCTTCATCCACTCCCAGTTCAAGGCTGGGAGGTCTCCTGTCAGCCCTCCAAGACTGAAATCAATCCCAAGATGGTTCCCCTTCCTGGGTGCACTTCGATTTTTGGTGCATCCCAAACTCTGTGCCCAGAGCTGCCAGCTCAGCCTGTCTGCCTGCACCCAAGGAGGAGGACACCCCAACACATTCCCAGGGAGAAAGGCCTACTGAGATCAGCCACCCCCACATGGGCACCGACCCTGGTGACAGTTGGCACCACCCAAGCTGTCATCCCCCCACTTTTCCCCCTTGATTCCTTGACAGACCCCACATATCTTCCAGGAGCTGAAGAGCACAGACATGAAGTATCGTAACCGTGTGCGGAGCAGAATCAGCAACCTGAAGGACCCCAAGAACCCAGGCCTGAGGAGGAACGTGCTGTGTGGGGCCATCGAGCCCAGCCTCATCGCCCGCATGACCGCCGAGGTGGGTCATGGACCACATCCATGCTGCCTCCTCCTTGGCTGGGTGGTGCCCACACTGGGCTTGTCCCAGCATCTCCCCATCCCATCCCAGTGTTGGATGAGGTATAAGGAGCATCAGGCACAGGGAGAAAGTGGTGGGCACTGCCTGGTCCCCTCAGAGCCCTGCAGCCCCCCAGCCCATCACAGAACTGGCTGTGGGATGTCACACAGGCAGGAGTCAGGCTTGGGAGTCCCCATGCCTTCTCCTCAACCAGGGAGCCCTAATCAGGCTCCTAGAAGCCCAATTTCCCCTGCAGGGAGCTAGATCCCTGCAGGCATCAATTTTGGTTTGAGGATGGGGTGATTTTTTTCATCTGGAAGGGCCTGAGCCCTCCAGCAAGCACAGAGAGCAGGATCAGTCATAGAATCATCAAGGTTGGAGGAGACCTCTAAGATCATCAAGTCCAACCGTTAACCAGGGTGGGTCAGGAGAGGGTGAGGGGAGTGCTGGGCTGTGCTCCTTGGCTGTGAGCAGAGCCATGGCCACACTGACCCATCTGGGCCGATGCTGGTGGCAGGAGATGGCCAGTGATGAGCTGAAGCAGCTGCGGAATGCCATGACCCAGGAGGCCATCCGGGAGCACCAGATGGCCAAGACAGGCGGCACCGTCACCGACCTCTTCCAGTGCGGCAAGTGCAAGAAGAAGAACTGCACATACAACCAGGTTAGCCCTGGCCCCGAGGGGACCCTGATTTGGGGGTATTAGAGGGGTCCCTGCTGACCTGGTGCCTGCTCCACCCCAGGTGCAGACACGTAGTGCCGATGAGCCCATGACGACATTCGTGCTGTGCAACGAGTGTGGGAACCGCTGGAAGGTCTGTGCTCAGCTGGGGAAAGGATTTTGGGCACCCCAACCCTTTCCTAGCCCTTTGGGGTGGCAAAGCCCCCCAAAACGGTGCAGGGGGAGCTGAGTGAGGGCTCACCCCCAACCTTGGGCTCTGTTTCTCCTGCAGTTCTGCTGATGGTGCCGGCGATGGGGCTGGAGGGAAGGCGGTTGAGATGGGATGCTGTGCCAGCCACATCAGGCAGCCAGGGTGGGCATGAGGGTGGCACCAGTCCCTGAACCCTGGCTCCCTGTTTCCTTGCCCTGGGCTCCCTCCAAAGTCCTGGGGAGCTGAGGCTGGAGCAGGCATGTTTGCTCGAGAAGATCCTGGTGAATTCAATGGTTCTTGTGAACACCTGCCCTTTGCTTGGGGTGTGCTGGGAGCCCACTGGGAGCAGACACATCCCTGGAAAGGCAAACTGGTATGGCCTGGGAAGTGTGCCCTTCCCTGAGGAAACCTGGGCTTGGTTGATTTGGGGGCAGAAGGAATGTTGTCCCATGGACACAGGGCTGTGCTCAGGGGGTGGGAAAGGGCCAGGTTTTAACCCAACCACCTTCTTCCTCACCTAAACACAGAGGGAGGACACAGAAGGGACAGGGTGGTTGCAGGTGTCTGGATACTGGTGGTATACCACTGTGTCCCTCTGCTCTGTGACACATGGACCATCCATCCTGGCTTGAGGGCACTGTGTTCCAGGAAAGAAGAAGGAATGGCAGGGAGAGGAGTGAGGAAAAACCCTCCAGCCATAGCAATAAAAGTGTGAACTGTCTCTGCGGCACAGACTGCTTTGTGAGGTGGGTCTGGGACCTATGCCTTGGTTTGTACTCCCCTAGCTCAAGCCTTGTGGTCCTCTGAGAGCCCCCACCCAGCTCCAACACATATCTTGAATCCACCAGCCCCCAGCTTCGGATATAACCGTGGCTTGATGCTCATCCATCACCTGCCTGGTGATTAAAAACCTTTAATTAAGGCTGGAGCAGCTCCCTGGCTGAGTCTGGATGCTGCAGGCTGGCCCATGGCAGGGCAGAACCTCCACTGACAGCCAGGAGGGTTTTCCAGGGAAAAGGCATCAGAGAACAGGCAGGAAATATCCCTTTGGCTACAGGAGGTGTGGGATGGAGCCTCGTGGCACTGGGCCTGGCCCTTGCCACCACCAGCCTCTCCCAGTGGCAGCGAGGGGTGACGAGGACACTGGTAAGGTCACAGTGACCACAGGTGACCACGGGTGGGGATGAAGGTGCTGCTCCTGCGCCTGCGTGAGCTGATGGGTGGGAGCACGGAACAGTGGAGCTGTTAATCAACCCTCATTAATTTCTAAATCTTGGGCTGAAGTGTGACTTGTTTTCCCCAGGCAGAGCCCAAGGCTGTTTGCACCCAGATTTGGGTCCTGAACCCTCCGTGTTTGGGGGTCCTTGGCACCTCTGAGCCCCCTGGCAGTGTGCTCCAGGCATGTTTGGGGGTCCTTGGCACCACTGAGCCCCCTGGCAGTGTGCTCCAGGCTGTGCTGCTCGTTAGCACGCCAAAATCATTAACAAGCCTCCAAGGCAATTATTTACGCTTGCAAAGCGCGTGTGGCTGCAATTAAGGAATATAGTGGGTTGTGGGGGATGAATAAAACATCAGTGTGACCTTGAGCTTCGAGGGGAGTGCGGGAGGGGCAGCACAGTGCCACGAGTGTCGTGTCCTGGGGGCTTCCCTCTCTCCTTTGCAGCTAACAGTTCCCTCCTCCCCTCCACATCCCCCAGCTTGGCCAGGCAGAGGAGCAGGGAAGGTCTCTGGCAGCTGCCCATCCTGCCAGCACTGTCCCAGGAGCTCACTCTTGAACTTTGGGGAAGTGGGTACTTCAGCTCTCATTTCTGATCAGTGCTGGAGAGGTGTAGCCATGGCTGCAGCAACAAATGCTGGTGCTGTTCCCCCCCTACCTCCCTCCTCTGCAGGCAGGAGGCTCAGACAAGAGCCCTCTGGAGCTCAGGGGCTCTGTCACAGCCACAGCCCCACCTGGGGCTGTTCGTGACCATGCAATGATGGAGAGGACCCTACAGTCCTTGCCAGGGGTTGGTTTGCCCCCTTTGAGGCTTCAGGTTTGGATGCTCTGAAGCTCCAGCAGAGTCTGGTGCCTCTTCCTGCTTGTGCCTGCCTGTCCCTGAATGAATCACAGAATCATTTTGGTTGGAAAAGCCCTCCAAAAATTATCAAGTCCAACTGTTCCCCCAGCATTGCCAAGCCCACCACTAACCATATCCCCAGGTGCCACAACTACGTGTCTTTTAAATCCCTCCAGGGTTGGTGACTCAAATGAGATGCTCAATCCTCCATCTGATGGAGGGTTTATATTCAAACCTACAACTTGTAATGCTATAAACAACCCCACGGTGTGTCCCACCCCAGCCAGGTCCCCCATGATGGGAGAGCCACCACTGGTGCCACCAGAACATATTCCTTCCCCATGGACTGCCCTGAGCCACCTCAGGGATGCTCTGTCCCACAGAATCCAGCTCACAGACACCTGAGCACACACGTTTTGCTTGACAATCCTGGCTTGTCCAGGGGTCACCCCCCTGTCCCCAGCCCCCCAGCTCACCCTGAGCTCAGGGCTTCACTGCTGCCCTTCTCCCCCGCATTTTTCCAGCCTTGACAAAAAAATCAGCACTTTGCTGTTCGGTGGTTTCCTTGGCAACCCTATTTCCCCATCCTCTTGCTTTGTGCTTGCCTAAGCCCCCTGGCCCCAGTCACCAGCCCCAAAGCACACAGGGGTGTGCTGTCCACAGGGGTGGGATGGGAGGTGGTGGGTCCTGACCCAGCTGGGAGGGCTGGACCTGGGGATACCCTCAGCGAGGGCTTCCCAAGAATCTGGGCTTCTTGGAAAGGGAATGGAGCAGCTGGGGGTGGGTTGTGTCAGAACCAGACTGAATTAATGCAGTTTTGGAGGTGACCTTTACGCCTCCATGTGGGTCCCTGTGCTTCTCCTAAGCACAGGCTGCCCAGGGAAGCTGGGGCTGCGTCATCCCTGGAATTACTCAAGGCCAGGTTGGAAAAGGCTTGGAGCAACCTGGGTTAGTGGAAGGTGTCCCTGCCCATGGCAGAGAGTGGGATGAGATGAGTTTTAAGGTCCTTCCCAACTCAAACCAGTGTGAGATTCCATAATTCTATATCCAGTCTGGGTGACATGAAGACAGTGGGGCTGGTCCCGGGGATGGAATGATATGGGCTTTAAGATCCCTTCCAACCCAAGCCATTCCATGATTCCATGCCTGGCAGTCTCTGCAACAAAAGCTGGAGGATGTCTGAGGTGAAGAACAGACCCCAATCCCCCATGCTGGCTGGCTGACCCCCACTTGCAGGGACATCCCTTCTCCTCCCAAAGGAATATCCCTCTCCTGCAGCCAGAAGGACTCATAGATGTTATTTCCACACCTCCAGCTCACCAGGCAGGGCTGAGCAGATTTCCCCCTGTCCATTCTCATGTGGAGGTGCTTAATTCCAACGGGCAGGTAATGATCCCTCAGGCACAGGCACTCGCTGCCTCCCCAGACCTCCAAACCCACATGCATTATTTATCTGCTGACAGGCAGAGGCTCTCAGCACAACTCACTTTGCAGTTGTCAGTAGACAGGATTCATCTCTCCTGGGAAAACCTCCACGGCTCTGCTGGCGCAGAGTCCATTGCTCCCACATCTGCATTGGAGCTGCTCCCATGGGTGGTGGCCCTGGGGTGATGCTGAGCATGGTGGGCACAGGGGAAGGTGCCAGTCCTGCTTGGGAATTGGGCAGATTCTCTTTAAAAAAACAGGGAAATGCAGCACTGGGGTTGTTTTGGGAGAGCAGGAATCATTCTGAGTGGGATGGGGGAGCCCAGGATACTCCTGTGAGCTGGGAAAGGATGTGCCCCTCAATATAGGGATGCATCACAGCATGGATGAGCTCAGGGACACCAACAGCTATTCCCCAAACCCCAAAGGGATGGTCAGTACCCCCAAAGCTAAGCAGACCCCATTCTAGTCAGGGACTTGATGCTAGAGGGAAGCAAGAACTATAAAGACCCTAAATTTTTTAGGGAGACCATGTCTGGTGCATCTACTTTGAGCCATGGCTCAACCAGAGCCTTCTGAACTCTTTATTCAGCTTCTTGTTTTAATTAAACCCCAATGCTCTGGTTTTTCTGAGCACAAAGTGCTGCCCCTGCTCCAGGAGCTGGGGAGGATGACGGATACAGGGATTTGGGGCTGGATCCCGTGGGGATTGGCTGTCAGAGGATGGAGAAGTGTGATGGTCCCTAAATCTCTGGAGGAGCCAGGCAGGGATATCCAGCAGGGCACTCCAGACACTGAATAGCACACAAACAGCACTAAAATAGGGGGGAAAGAAATTGCTGAGCCTCTCAGTGCTGGCTCCAGCTTCAGGCTGGGATACAAAACGACATAATTTCCTTTCTCCTTCATTGTTCTGCCTTGATGTGAGTGAATCAGCTGCTTTGGAGCAGCAGCTCCAAAAAAAATTACAGTGTTTGCCCAAGACAGCTCCACTATCCAGCCTGGATCTTCAGCCAAGACAAAATAATTGAAGCAAAACCATGGATTTGGGTTGATTGGGTATTTATTGGTTTTTTCTTCCCTGAAAAAAACCAAGGGGAAAATCAGTTTTCACCTGCAACATTTGCAATCCATTGGAGGGCAATGAATCATCAAGGTATAGGGCTGTGATTCTGCAGCTCAGGCTTTGTGATGATTAAAAGCATCAAATGAGCCCAAACTGGACCCAAAACTTTGCTTCTAAAATGAAACATGTTGCATGGAAAATTACAGAATACACTTTTCCTAACGAAAAACTCTGTGTCCTTTTGTTTCCTGGCCAGAGAGGTTTGCTGAGTCTGCAGAGCACTTTGGTTTCAGCCTTCTTAAAATCACAGCACATGGCACAGATTTTTTTCCTCCCCTCCTTTAGCTGAACAGGGAGAGAACTGAGCAAAGACACCTATTGAAAGCAAAAATCGC